TATCGTCCTTATCTCCCCTTCTTCTTTTTTATGTTTGTTACTCTCTTGTAACACCTCTAATCTTCTGGCGCTCATATGACCTTATGCAGTTGCGAGCGCTGTAAAATCTCTACTAAAACTAAAGAAACCAGCTTTTTTCTTGAAAGGGTGATGATTATTATGATGATTTTTATTATATATTCTTTTTTTCTCTTGTAACTTTGTGGGCGAGAGGAGGGTGCCTTCAGTAGGTCCTGTTTATTCTTCTCTCCATTGTTTCTGTCTGTATGTCTTATTCTCCCTGCCTAGAATGACTATCATTATGATGTTGATATGCTTCAGCTTCTCTTTCTTTTCTTTCTTTCTTGGCGTTGTCTGTCCTCTACAGGAAGTAGCCCCCCAACAACAACCTCAACTCAGTTCTTTCAGCTGTTTTCCTTGTTCAGGTTGTAGCCGTTCGCTCTCTGATGTCATCTTGCCACCTTCCTTCTGGTCTTCCTCTTGATCTTTTTCCTGTTCATGGTGTTCTTTCAGTGCATCTTTTTGTCCATCTTTTTTTACCCAAACAAATTTTATAACTTTATTTGATTTGATTCTTTCTGATCAGGGGGACACAACGGTTGCTGAGATGGTTTGAGAAATGAACTTCTGACCATCAACGATATTGCCGCAGTGGCACCAGCCTCTGGAACTCACCATTGACTGGCATGACCATTGGAGTCTCTGACCCATCTCTGGTGACATCGGTGACCAAACCTAGAGTGACCAACAACTCAAATGGGAGCTTCTAAGATGTACCTGGAGGTTATGGGAGAGACTCAGTAAGATGTGTATGGAAAGACCTAAACACGATGCAGAACCCATATCTTTCATTACTGGGTTTTTATGGTACAGAAGTGTAATTCTGGGGTTAACAATAACAGTTTAACTCTTCAATACCATAGTTGTACAGTCTGTCCAATTGTGAAGATAATATCCAAATTTCAGGCCTCTACAATTCTACAAATATTTTTTAAGGTTTTACTTGAATTTGAGCTACACAGTGTATATTATGTGAGTGTGCCTGATGAAAGGTAGGCTATGTACGACTCATTTTTATAATTGTGTTTTATTTAATGTTCTGGTGCGAAAATAATTTCTGAACTACATGCTTTTAAAACTTTTAAGATAGCTTCAGTACTTTGTAAGTGTGATGAACTCTTTCTATACCAGTCATTGCTTGAGCTTATGACCATAATGATTTTGCATGTCTAGAAACTGAGCGTAGGTGGGGTAATAATTGATGGTTATATAAGCAAGTATTTGACAAAGATATAAGGTGTTGTACATAAATGGAAAGGTGGAAAGATGATCAATACATGTTTCATTTAAAAATATTAATCTAAAAAATATAGGTAATTATAGCAGGCATTGAAATTACAAATGGTGAGGGGGCTTAACCCTAATTCTGCCCAGTGGGGTACCTTTGATTTTTGTTTATTACTGTTTTGTGGTTGCTTGGACACATGGAAAAGTTATGTATTTGGAAAGCTAATAGAATGAACTTTACAAAAATACAATTTTGGCGGATGTGGACATTTATTACGAGTGGTCACATGACCTTGGAAAATTCAAAATGGCCGTTGCTATTTTGTTCCATGTACATCAGAGCAGTAAATATTGTTGGTAATTACATTTTACAAGAGTTTCTGAGATAGCCATGTGATAGAGAATTTTATACCCTTTACAAAAATATAAACTTCATATACTTTGTAGTGAAACTAAGAACAAGAATGCTGGAAAAGAACATGTGACGTGAAAATGACAAACAACAATACAGAATCAGAATGAACAGTCCGTAGTAAATAAACAGTAAATTATACTCACATACACTGTAATTTGTAATCCAATTCAAACAAGAAACTGTGTTTATGTGAACAAACAAACTGTTTGACGAGAAACTGAAATTTTTATCCATTCACCTCAATCAGTGCTGGGGCGTGCATGCTTCCGCCCGCGACCTTGTTGCGGTTCGTCCGTGTGAATATGACGAGGCTCACATTTCAAATGTACCCCAACATTGCAGTCAGGACACCAAACTGTTGATCTTTTCCTTCTCTGAGATGTGCTGCATACTGCACAGTTCAGTTCTTTCCTACCCTCTAGCATGGTAAGGTGATGCTCCTTGAGTGAGGGACGTGGGGGTGGAGGAGGGTGTGGCGTTGCAATTCTTGGTGTCGGTGGACATGGTGTCCCATTTCTTGGTGTTTGCTGCCCCTGACCACAAAGGATCATAACTACACTAAGGATGTAGGCTTTCCTGTCCATTTTTGAGCCTTCATTCTTCAACCTGAAGAGCTCATACGAGTTCAGCATAGCTATGCCCAATAGGTTTGGGAAAATTTTTACCCAGTAGCGGTGGGTTGCCCGTTCACTAGCATAGTGATACAGTTTTTTGTCTGACATATCCACACCACCCATATAAGCATTATACTCAAATATCATGAGTGGTTTACTGTTTTCCCTACCCCTCACAATCCTAGTCTCATTGACTGCTGGGCACTGGGTGGAGATCAACACCACAGGTTTAGTTTGACTCTTTTTCTCACGGAATGCGACACCAAGAATGTCCCCACTCCTCATGTACCGAACACCTCCAACAGCAAGTGGTCGGGACAGTTCTTTTGGCAAACCTTTTGCATTGGAAAGGGTAGTGCCTGTCAAAAGTGTTCCTTTCTGGAGTAGGTCAGCTGCTAACTTAGGTTTGGTATAGAACCTGTCAGTAAATAATCTGTACCCTTTGTTGAGGAGATTGGCAGCTTGCATCAACTCTAACACTACCGCATGTCCCTGACCCTCTCTGCACCACAAGTCGAAGTCTTTCCCTGCGTAAAGGGCAATGTGGATAACGTAACACGTTTCTGTGCACAGTTCAAATTTTTTAATGCCAAAACGATTATGGCTTTTATTTTTTAGGTATTACAAATATACAGTTTTGTTTTTCATACCGACAATGCTTTCATCTATCGATATGTTGGCAGGCGGCACAAGATACTGTTTGAATGACTCATTCAGTGTCCAAAACAACACGAATTTTCACCCAAGGATCAAAGCCTTCCTGGCCTCTCGGTATTTCAGTCGCCCCATCATTTGTATGAAGCATCCTTTTGATAAGTTCAAAGTGCTTCCGCGGCATATAACGACTAAAGAAGGGTGTCTCAAGGACAGCATGCGTGCTCCAATAGTCTGCCAAACATTTTTTTTTACTAACCCCATTGCAATGAGCAGGCCCAAATACTTCCTCAGCTCTGCAGCAGTAATACCATTCTCTAGCCATACATGGTACCGAGACTGTCGGTGATTATGAAGCCATTGAATTATCTCTTCTTTGTTCTAAAACTCAGAGGCATATTTGTTTGTTTCACGTACTTTGTGCTCTATCAGGCGGTCGGGGAAAAGTAGTGAAAAAAAATCAATGGGCTCAGTGACACTGTCATCTACATTGAAAACACCAACATTTCTAACCCTAAAGTCAACTGGAACCTGTCTGTTCATTTCTGGTGGGGTAACTTGCACCCATGGTTCTGCCTGACCAGATGAATTAGTACCACGTTGAGAACGACTGGCGTTTGAGTTTAGACGGGTAAGGGGTGGGGTGGGTACAGACCTAGAGTTGACACGACAGGTCGAAGTTGATGGTTGATTGGGATGAAAAGACCCATTGGACTCATCCTCACTCTCTCCAGAATGTTCATTTTCACTAGAATTACACACATCTTGAACTAAATCAACATCAAAGTCACTATTAGAACTGTCAGGATAGAAGGTTTCGAAAAATTCCTTTTTCCAGCCATCACGGCTTCACTCTGAATCACATGACTTTTGTTTCTTCTCAAACGGCTTGTTCTACCACTTTTGCATCATATTTGGCATCAATAAAAAGCTGAACCATTGTACAAAGCGAAACAAACGATTCCCGGTTCAGGGGATGTAATTCTATTAATTTAGAGCTCTGCGCGAATACGCCGATGTTATCGGCTTTTTCACGTCGGGGCGTTTTGACCACAGGAATACGCCGATGAGATCGGTGCGTGGGCAGAATTAGGGTTAAGGGATTCCATACACTGAAATCTTCAAAATTCTCTACAGAGGACCTTGGAACCATTTTAGGTCTCTTAGTGTCACATAGAGTGGCCTTGCGCCACCGCAGCTACTTTAGCATGCTGAACTAGGTCATGGCCTATATTTTGCATATATATTTGAATAGCCTCACTATTTGGTTTGGCCAATGAAAGCGATGTTTACACCTTGTAAGAGGTCATGCTCTATTATGGAATCTTCCTGGGTCACTGGGTCATAGGATAATAGTGTAAAATTTGTGAGTGGAATATTTTCACTCCCGCGGCTTCTCTGTCACATGCACGGCTCCCGACTTGCGGAAACACGGTCATCCCTCCTTCAACCCCCTCCCTCACTCTCCTCCCCCACCCCTCCTCCCTAAACCTTCACCCCAATTTGTTTAACACTTAACAGACAAAATGCAATGGTTCAAAACATTGGAACACACTTAGTAGTGACCATAGGATGACCATAACAACAGCAATAACAAAAACTGGTACTTAACAATATAAATACTGAGTGCAACCACCACTACCTTTATTTTATACTTTTTATTCAAAGAACTGAACCTTTAACAATTTTAACATTGATATGCAAGATTACAATGATGGTGGTGATGATGATGGTGGTGGAGGTGGTGATGATGAGGATGATGATGATGATGTTTTGTTGTTTTTTGTTTTGTTTCCTTAGTAGGCCTGGTGGACTCCACGAGGAAATCTTCGAGCGAGAGCGAGGCTCTTTTTCGACTCCATTGTCATTATACTTCTAGGAACCTCCACTCGTCTGAATAACTCCATTAGAATTACCATTGTTTCTGGACATTCAAACATATGTTTGACATCCTCCTTTTCATGGCTGCATTTTTGGCAACGTGGGCTGAGCTCTTCATTAATAAAGTTCTTATACCATCTCAAGCTTCAATGATGGTCCGACCGCAGTCTCGCTAGCTCAACCTGGTCCCAGCGACATGTGATATTTTGTTCCTGCTTTTTGGAGTATCCAGAATACGCATCCTCCAGGTGCAGGTACTTACCTCTGCATGGTGGGTCTCTGGTTTCCCTCTTGATCATTGAAAATACTCCTCTGTATGTTGTTGGTCGTCTTTCTCCTTCAATCTCTCTGGCTCCATTGACAGAAAAGTCTGCTGCCTCATTTCTTTCGATTCTCACATGGCTTGGAATCCACTGGATTTTTATTGTGGCTGTGGTTTCACTGAACTTGCAGCACAAATCATTTATGTCTGGCCTGTTGCCTAGCAGTCCTTTGCAGAGGGACTGACTGTCAGTCAAGATCAGCACATTGGTTCTACTGTGGCAATTGTCCGCTATCCATTGTGCAGCAGACATCATTGCCTGGCATTCTTCGTCATAAGACGGTGTAAGGAATGCACCTTTGGTTTTAAGGATGATGATGTTAACACTTTGTCATGTAATAATGTAATTATTGAATAAGAAATATGCGAATGCACAGGTGGAGCCAGGTTTTTTTTTTACTATATATAGGCATGTGGTGGAAAAGTGTTTCATGTAATAATGTAATTATTGAATAAGAAATACGCGAATGCACACCACAAGTCACCAGACCTAGAAAATACTGGCTCGTCGCCTTTTTTCAGGGGAAGGTTGGTGTGTTTTTAGGGCTTGAGGGAACCCCTTTCTGCTCTCCACAATAGTGCCCACTGCTCCTGTCTGCTTTTCCCTCAGGTCCACAAAGAGTGTTGGAGATGTATAAAAGTTATCACAAAACAATATGTGACTCTTCTCAGTGTATCCATCCATCAGGGTCTCCACAAGATGATGTGTAAATGGCTTACCCGCTGGTACTGGAAAGTAGTCCTTCCCGTCGTCAAGACTAGGCTTCGGGTTGAGACCCATAGCAATCTGAAGGCCCATGAATGCTTGCATCTCTTCCGTGTTCGTATTCGACCACCTTTTCTTATAATAATTGGTTTCTGGCCGGGCATGTAGACACCGGGCTGCATAGTCTTTTGTTTGTTTTATTATTAGGTCGATCACAGCTGGCTTGAAAACAAGACTAAAGAAGTCAATACATCTGAAATCTGTGGTGTAAACCAAAACATCTGGGCCCTGCTGAAATGGAGGGAGCCAGTCATTACTGTATGGGTCCATCCCATCCTAGGAATTCCAGTGAAACTCGGGGTCTTGAGTGGTTGTTGTAGACCTGGGAGTGCTAGTAGGTCTACGTCTAGCGGGCGGTGGAGGTGGCTGTGCCTGGGGAAGCTCACTGTCAGATGACGAAGATTCCCGAATTCGCGTCGGTCTAGCTCTTCTCGATCTTGATCGACAAGTTTTAAGTGTAGTTGATTCACCATCACTTACATTCTCCTCATCTAAATGCCATGAAATATGCCAAGAAAAATTTTCTTCACTGCTTCTTGCAGCCTTTTTTATTTTTCAACAAGCAAATCGGTATTCATCTTTACCTAGAGTGAATATATATATAAAAAACATAAGGTTAAATAAAAGACAGAGGGGGGGGGGGGTAGATTCATTGTATAGTGAGCCCAGTGCATCCCATTGGGATGATCTCAGGGCTACAGGGAGGGAGGGGGGCGAGAACGAAGTCAGTTGACAATGGTAGTAGGTAGGCCGGATTTTCCAAACGTGTGGTTTTGTTTTAGGAAAATCCGGCCACCCCACTACAGACAC